CTCCCTCTCACTCTTGCTCAATCGCTAAGAAACTTTGTTTCCACTAAGAAAGACTTTGTTTCCCTCACCACAGGATAGCTGCGTGCCCCCCGGCCTTTGCACCCACCCTACACCTCCCAGGATGCATGCCAGAGCCGGGGTGGACTCTAATCCTGACAGTCACCCACCATGTGAGATTTGGGACGGGTCTGTGATTCTCAGAGCCTCAGTTTCCCCTTTCACACCGCAGGACTTTTTCATCTGGGAATATCTGTCCCCTCCATGGAACAGGGCCCACTTCCTGACGTCAGCAGCGCCCCCATTCGCCTCCCCGGGGGCGGTTTGTCTATTTTAAGAGGCCGAGGCGGGGCTCGCATCTAACTGGGGCTCCAGGCAGGCCTGTCCCCCCACCACAGCCACCCAACAACACCCCAGTCCTCGCCAGGCCTGCTGCACCCCCCTTGCTCACCCACCAGGACCCCCCACCCTTGCCTATGGTTCCCACTATCCATCTCTCCCAGCCTGGCCCTGGAAGGGGGGGGTCACTGTCCCTGTCCACCCCCACGTGGCTGCCCAGACCCTTCCCCAAGACCACCGTCCTGCCCTGGCAGCTGGAGTTGGGGACCCTCCAGTGTCCCCCCTCCTCCTCCCCAGCCACCCCTCAGCCCCCACTGGCTCCATCTTCTCTATCCGGGTTCCGGCTGGCTGTTTCATTTCCCCAAACACCACTCCTTCCCCCGCCTTGTCACCCGCAGCTGCCTCCTGTGTCCCAAGGTCAACCCACAAGGCCAGGGTCAGGCCACACCCGCCATGTTTCTCCTCCCCAGCCGATTGGAGACCCCAGAGACGACACCCCCAAGAGGCTGGAGCACCCCACTTCCCCTGCAGAGCCCTGCACACAGTAACGCTCAATAGAGATGTTGGTAACCGTGCACGCCAGTCCCCACCCTCCAACCTGGTGGCTTCCTCAGGGTGTGGTGTAAGGGAGAGACCCAGGCCAGTACTCAACGCCCATTCTGCAGAGGTCACACAGGGGTAAACTGAGGCTGGGGAGTGACTTCCTTCCCTTTCCCCAGTCCACACACCTTGTGCCCCGAGGGGCTGACTCTCTCCGCTGAGCTGCGATCACTTCCCAGGCTCAGTTTCCCTATCTGACACCTGGACGCCTGCCCTGCCCAGACCTTGGCAGGTCGCTGCAGAAGTGACCTGAGCAGTGACACTTCGGGTGTCACTTGCGACCTGGTCAACCTGTCACAGCTGCAAGATTTTGCACCGCTTCTGCACAGATGGCGAGCTCAGCTTGCAGCCTACTGTGGTGGTATCATTAGGGACCAGGTTGAGGAGGGGAAACCCCGGCCCTTCCTCTCCCCGTCCCCACACCCCCACCCCAAGGCGATCGCTCCCAGCCTCAGTTTCCCCATATGTCAAACTGGCAGGGCACACTCCCTTTCACATAGGTGAAACAGGGACCTGAGCACAGCCGGCCCTCTGCCTCAGTTTCCTGCGGGACCCCACCCCCACCCCTGCGACCCTGTGCACCGGGCCGCGCCACCCCCCGCCCGTGCGCGCCAAGGCCTCACCTGGAGCCCGCGGCGCCGCAAGAGGCTCGGCTCGTCCATGGCCAGCGAGTCCCAGCCGCTGGCCCCGCCCTCGGCCCGCCCCAGTCTCCGGCGCCCCGCCCCGCACGCTATTGGCTAGGACTTCGGATGACGTAGAAGCCACGCCCCTATCAAAAGAGCCTGGCTGGGGCAGGAAGACCCCGCCCCCAGAACGCAGCGCCGTCCACTCAGAGCTAGGGAAATATTTTGTGCGGTCAGGAGTGTAATTGAGGTCCCATTCGCAGTTAGGGAGTGGAGGGTCAGAGAGGGTTCAATCCACCTCCCCCCCGGCACACAGCATGGACTGGCCAGCGAGGCGCTCACCTCTGCAAAATTCAAGGAGCTCAGCCATACAACAGAACACAAATGATTCTTGCTTAATTGTATTTGAGACGGGGTTTCAATATGCAATCCAGGACTCACGATACGCCGCCTTAGCCTCCCAAGTGCTGGGCTTACAGGCGGTGACCACTGAACCCCTTGCGATCTTTTAGCATAATTTAAAAAAAAAAAAATCAGCATTAATGAAGATAATCGTGATAAGCAAAACACTTGATTTTTTTGTTTCTTTTTTTGTAGAGCAGGATCTCACAGTGGAGACAAGGGTGGCGTCAGACCTCTCCATTCCTCTGACTTCAGCTCCTCAGTGCTAGGATGGAAAAGTTAAAGGCAGGGTCAGACCCCAGCCTCACCTGCCTACCCTAATCGTGGCCCTGGTGCCAATAAAACTTTATTTACAAAGACAAGGGGCCACTCAGGTTGCCAGGTTCTGTCTTCAGGACGGTTGTCTTTTGCTGAATGCTGACCCTACCCCTGCGTCATGGCCTCCACCTCTCTCCACAGGTGTCTGAAGATGATTCTTGCACCCACTTTGCAGATGGGGGAAAGCGAGGCCAGGGAGCAACCCAAAGTCCCGAGGTCACTCCCACTTTCTCCCCTCTGGCTGGTCTCCCGCTGCTCCCGGCGGCGCCTGGCTTTTATGCATCCCACCCACTGTGATTGGCTCACACTGGCCACGTGACCCCAGCCCGCAGCCAATCAGAGCCTTCCTTGGGACTTTGGTTGGAGTCCTGGGGGAAAACCGGTTCCCTGAACCACAGGTGGCCATGGGTTCACAGTTTCAGAGGTTTCAGTCCATGCTGGCTTTGCCCCGAGTGCTTTGGGCACAGGACGTCCTGGTAGAAGCCAGTGGTAGAAGCAAAGTGACAGGAAGGAGACATGTCACCCTTAAGGGCCACCACCAGTGACCCTGTCTCCTATAAGTCAATCACCTCCCAACAGGAGCACAGCCTGCATTCTTGGGGGACATTGAAAATCCAGTCCGGGACCAGGCATGGGGGGACCCGCCTGTAATCCCAGCCACCTGAGAGTCTGTAGGTCGAAGGATCAAGGATGAAGACCGGCCCCAGGGAAATAACTAAAGCAGAAGGGCTGGCGGTGTCTCAAGGGATAGACACCTTGCAGCTGCCTGGAGAACCCAATCCCACCCCCCCAAAAAAATCCAGTCCATGAAGCAGCAAAGTTATCCTGAAATGACCCTCGTGGAGACGTCGGAGTCGCGAGTACATGGTGTTTAAAATGTTCTTTGGCGACACATGCCTCTAAGTGTATTCATGAAGTGAATAAACCGAACTCCTCCTCATCCTTCAATGCCCTCCTTGGACGCCCCTCAGGAGCATTTTAGAATCTGGGGCACAGGAAGGGAAGCTCAGCCTCTCGCAAGGAAGTCGGGTGTGGGGGGCGGGTGGCGAGGACATTCTGTGGTTTCTTCTGTCACGGTTCCGGCCCCTGTGACTTGTTCCTTCCTGCTTCCCCTCCACCCAGCCCACAGCCATCAGAACGTGGGGCAGGCCTGGGTGATGATCACACTTTGAGGGGCCCGGGGGGCGCCCAGATGTGACACCCAGCAATCAGCCTGTGGTGAGTCTTGGGGTGCCTCACGTGAACCTGGGTCCTCCCCACCGTCCCACCACACACCCACCATGCGCGCCCCAGTGCCCTTGGGCCGGGCCTCCCCTCGTAAGGCCTGGGGCTCAAGCCCTGTCCATGTGGCCGGCTGCACGGCCCTAACACAGCGCCAGGACCACCTGGTGTCCCCAGTACTGAGCTAGGGGCTTGGTGGGGGGAGACGCCCTACAAATAATCCCACTTCATTCTCTGCCCAGCTGGAGTGTCCACTTCTCCACCAATGTCTTCCACCTGTCTTTCCCCCCAGCCCTCCCTTCCTTCCTCACTCCCAGGCAGTGACCCTGGGCCACAGATGGTGGCCCTGCTGGTGACAATCACGGTGGCTGACTGTGGGGGTGATGTCTCGCCCTCAAAACAGTCCACTCTGAAGGTGGGAGCCCCTGGCCTGGCCCCATGGCCACAGAAGGCCACTCTGTGTGGGGTCACGGGGTCCGGTCCCACTGTGCCAGGCCGGGGACACTGCCTCTTTGTCCTCGAGACGCTGACCTCACAGTCTTGGGACGCCTGACCCCGGCCAGCCCAGCTGGCCCCTGAGGGGGAGGGGGAGCCTACCACCACCTGGCCTCAGTTTCCCCGAAGTCCACAACACAAGCCCCCCACCCTGTCCCCTCCATGGTGCCTTTAGGGAAATCCCTGAGATAAAATTCACCTTTGATGTCCACTTAAGGGTTTTCCTGATGGGTCGCTCAGTGGCCTCAGCTGGCCTGGAAGCTGACAACCCCGCTTCGGCTTTGAAACTTAAGAAAATGACCTTTAGGGGCTCGAGGTTGGGGACACAGGGGTCACCCTGAACTTGGGGACACGGTGGTTGGAACGAGACTGAACGTGGAATATGTGACCTTCCCGGACACCCAGCTCCTGGTCACCTCCGGGTCTCATAGGTTGTGCTGAGGTCACTGAGGTTCCAGTTCCAGTCCTGACCCAAACCAGAGTCCCCAGTACCAGCCTCGAGCGCACCACCCCCGAGGCTGACTTCCTGGGTTTTCTTTTTCACCATTTGACTTCTTGTCCTAGGAGGGGATGTGACACTTTTTTTTTTCCTTTGTCCTTTTTTTTTCATATACAGCCTACAACCGTGTCACCAGCTACAAGGGTGTTGCGGGACAGGGGACAAGGTGACCGTGTCCTATGTCAATGGGCTGAGGGCTCCACGTGGACCCGGTGATGAGGTGGCTGATGACCAGGCTGTGTGTTCCTCCTTCTGCTGTCCTGGCTGAGTGGTGAGTCCCCCCTAACGTGGAATGTGGGGTGCAGACTGGGGTCCAGCGTCACAGCCACCTGTCTGTCCCTTAGCCTTTCTGTTCTGCAAAATGTCACATGGGTGATGAGGGTTTCTGGGGTTGAATCTGGGTCATGGATGACCTGACAGACATGGTGACACCATGCAATGCGTGTGTCCCAACGACGGGGACACGGAGAGGACGGGGCGTCCACACTCCTGTGTCTCTCTCCGGCTTAGAGCGTGGGGTCAGTCCACTCTAGTCCCAGGAAGGACAACGGCTTCAGGCCTGGCCCCCTGTGGCCTAGGAAACACGTGCGGAAGAGCACAGACGCTGGCAGAACTGGGGATCCCATAGCTGAGGGGGACACTGAACATGGGGAATGTCCCTAGTTGTCACTGCTGGACAGCCAGGCCAACAGAGTGGCCGCAAAACTGCCACTCGAACCCTACCATCTTTCCAAGCCGGGGTTTTCTGGCATCTCAACCTATCCCTGACTCCCAGCACTGGGTCTCAATGCTGAGTCTGCCTGGGGAAGTCGCCACGGGGACCCCAAAGTGCAACTCAGTGTCCACCAGGGGATATCTGCCAGTGTCCAGGAGTTAATGGGTAGATGGATGGATGGATGGGTGGATGGATGGATGGATGGGTGGATGGATGGATGGATGGGTGGATGGATGATGGTGGATGGATGGATGGATGGTGGATGTGGAGTGGATGGTGTGGATGGATGGTGGGATGGGGATGGGTGGATGGATGATGGGTGGATGGATGGATGGGTGGATGGATGGATGGATGGATGATTGGATGGGTGGATGGAGTGGATGTGGGGATGGGTGGATGGGTGGATGGATGGGTGGATGGATGGGTGGATGGATGGATGGATGGATTGGTGGATGGGGATGGATGGATGATGGATGGTGGATGGATGGATGGAGGAGTGGATGGGTGGATGGATGGATGGGGTGGATGGATGGATGGGTGGATGGATGGATGGGTGGAATGGGTGGATGGGGTGTGGATGGGTGGATGGGTGGGTGGATGGGTGGGTGATGGGTGGATGGATGGATGGATGGATGGGTGGATGGATGGGATGGATGGGTGGGTGATGGTGGGTGGATGGGTGGATGGGTGGATGGATGATGGGTGGATGTGGGGATGGTGGATGGGTGGATGGGTGGATGGGTGGATGGGTGGATGGATGGATGATGGGTGGATGGATGGATGGATGGATGGGTGGATGGGTATGGGTGGATGGGTGGATGGGTGGATGGATGGATGGGTGGATGGTGGATGGATGATGGATGGGTGGATGGGTGATGGATGGACGGCGTGCATAGAGTGGATGGATGGTGGATGGTGGATG